AGCATTTTGTTTTGTTCTTTACAGGTCGTACTTTGGTTACTCTGCAGGTAATTAAGATGCTTTCTTCTTCACAAGACTGCCTTTACTGCCGGATCCTGTGTCGTGGTGAGCACCAGGAGGCCAGGGCAGTCATGAGAGTAACGGGCAGGTGCAGGGAGGTGCGTGCCTCTCCGGCTGGCTTGTCTGGCTTCTTATCTTTAGGTAAATCCAATTAGCTTCTTCCTTGAGCCGTCTCCTTCCAACGGAACTGAGCAAGTGAAGTTGGGAGCTGGCGTCCAGCTGGTCTAGTCTTGTATTCTTCCAGTATTTGCCCAGCACTTCTTTAGAAAACATCCTGGAAGAGCAGAGATGAAGAAGAGCCATGCTTGCCCCCAACTTGCCTGCGCCCCTCAGCCAAGCAGGTGCCGGGGCTGAACTGGGCACCGCCCTCCCCGGAAAGCCTGTCCCAGGCCTCCTGGGCCCAAGCAAACAGTAGTCGCCTTCCTGAAATGAGTTCCGGTTAGTACAGCATTGCCCCTCACCCCTTTAAAATGGTGGTAAAACACACATAACAGAAATGGTTACTGTCCTAATCATTTTAAGTGTACAGTTCAGTACACGTCGTGTAAGCAGATTCACACTCTCGTGTCACCGTCATCACCATCCGGCTCCAGCTTTGGTTTCTTCTCCTGAATGAAGCTCTAACCCATTAAACACTAACTGTGCTTCCTTCCTCCCCGCAGCCCCTGGTAATCTTGGTTCTGCTTCCGGTTTCTGGGGGTTTACGTACAAGGAGAAGCCTACGTATGGTATTTGTCCTTTTGTGACTGGCTTATTTCACTTAGCGTGATGTCCTCTGGGTTTATCCATGTTGTATATATAACGTATATCTGAATTTTCTTCCTTTTTAAGGCTGACTCATAGCCCATTGTGTGTATGTACCACAGTTTATTTATCTACTCATCCATCGATGGACACTTGGGTGGTTTCCACCTTTTGGCCATTGTGAGAACGCTTCTGTGAGTGTGGGTGTGCAAATATCTCTTTGACCCTGCTTTTGGTTTTCTTGGGTATATATTTTGAAGTGGAGTGGCTGGGTCATATGGTAATTCTATTTTTAATTTTCCGAGGAACTGTGTTCTGTACTGTTCCATTCACAGTGTGGCCATTTTGCATTCCTACCAACAGTGCACATGGGTTCCAATTTCTTCCCAGCCTTGCCAACCCTAGCTTCTTCCTGTGCTTGAGAGAGTAGCCATCCAGGTGGTCTTCTTTGTAAAAAACATTCAGCGGTCAGTTAAAGCAGCCCCTGTTGGTGTTGAGGAGAGTTCCCGGGAGCGTATGGCCAGGTGGGGCCATGACCCTGTCATCATTTATTAAGAATTATGGAACAGATGCCCTGCTTCCAAGAGGAGGCATTTTCAGATTTGCAGATAAGTTGTTCAATAGAGCGGGTAGCTAAAGATAATCAAAGCAACTTCCGATTATTTGTGGTGGGAAAACTACACCAGGCCAATCCCGTGGCATGCACGGAGGGACGATCCCAGGACCGGGAATTGGGAAGTCAGAGTCCAGCTCCATCTCTGCGAGGTGGGGAGTGCTGCCCATCACTTCCCATTTCTGGCCTTATTTCTTTCAAACAATGCTGTCGGAATAACAGCCCAGGGTCCTGCCACCTTCGAAATCTTCAGATTCTGCGCAATAACCTTGAGTTTGTTCACTGCCGGGGGGGAAGGATGCTTTATTGTGAGAACAAGAGAGCAGAGTGCCATTTCGCTTAATTATTAAAGATGCCCTTTCAGGCTTCATCTTGGGGCAGTTGGAGCTGGAATTGGATCTTGCAGGTCATCCAGGCCGATGTCCTCGTCTTACAGATGAGGGGCCAGGATGCAGACATGTGGTCACACCATCCAGTTACCAGCTTTCTCTTGGTTGTGACTACAATAGGTTGGCCGGCGGGTCCTCCAGGGCCGTGTGAGCAGCCGCAGAGGCGAGGGCATAGGTTCAGCCTCGCTGCAGGAGACGGTCACCCGTCAGGGACCGGTGTGGCCCACAGCTGAGGGCCATGAAGTCGGGAGGGGGGCTGTGGAACCAAAACAGAGGTGGCTTCAGGCCCAGGCCTGTGCCCTTGGGCATTTGCTTCATTGCACTTTTGCTTGTCCTTAGTTCGTTGGTCTGAAAGGCCTCGTACCCACAGCGTTGTTGTGAATACCACTGGGGCACGAGGTCATGCGGAAGCAGTCGTACAGAAATGTTGTTCATACTGCTTGTGCTTAGCTGCAGGGTTAGCTGCTTACTTCTCGGTAAGCACCGTATGTTAAAATCTACATCGAACATTGATGTGATGGTTTATTTGTATTTTTTGCAAAATGATTCCCTGTAAGAAGTATCAGGGTTCCTGGCGCCTGGCTGGCTCAGACAGTAGAGTCTGCCAAGCTCGGTCTTGGGGTCATGAGTTCAAGCCCCACATTGGGCATAAAGCTTACTAAAAAAAACCCTAAAAACAAAAAAAGAGGTATCAGGGTTCCAAAGAATCTTTTTTTGCATTTTTCATCTCTTCAGGAACTGTCTCTTCTCCCGTTTTGCATGAAGTTAGTTAGCTTGCACGGCCTTAGACTTAGAAGTTGCGCGATTTTCTGTTCTTGCGTCCATGTGACTTGCGTCAGCGGTGGGAGCTCGACCACCCGGCGCCCGACTCCATCTAAGGGTGGCTGGCCTGTGTGCATCTCTGCTCGTGTTCACGGAGGGTCTGCTCGTCGCTTGTCTGAGGGAGGCGGGCACATCAATCCACAGGGTGTCATTTACAATTGTAAAATGAGCCACTGAGGGCTTTCTTGTGTTCTTTGTAGGTTTTGTCACTGCTTTTAGGGCTCTCGCCTCTTCTAACTTAGCCTCGAGTCAGCGGTTCGTGTTTGCCTATGGCGTGCAGGGCTTTTAACCAACCACCTGTAAGCCTCAGTTTCCTTATTTCTAAAGCGGGAGTGCTAATATCATTTCCTGCCTATGTCACGGGGGTTGAGCTGAGGCTTATGAAAGGTAGTTTTTGGGGTGCCTGGGTGGCTCAGTTGTTAAGCGTCTGCCTTCAGCTCAGGGCATGATCCCAGGGTCCTGGGACCAAGCCCCGCATCGAGCTCCCTGCTCAGCAGGAAGCCCGCTTCTCCCTCCCCCACTCCCCCTGCTTGTGTTCCCTCTCTCGCTGTGTCTCTCTCTGTCAAATAAATAAATAAAATCTTTAAAAAAAAAAAGAAAGGTAGTTTTTGGTTTTTTCAACTTGCAAAGACAAGGCTTGATCCTCGGCCTCAAGGACTAATCTGGCTTTGCCAAGTGACAGGAAAACCACACGAAAAAATAGAGACACATCTGAGCGAGAAAGTTCACAGAACCAAACTGTGCAGACAGGTCAGGGACAGGTGTGTATATGTAAGCTGGTGGTTGCTGGGATCATTGTAAGGGACCCGAAGTGGGTGGGGTCAGCATGGTCCCTTGTGCCCCCATGTAGGGTAGGTAGTCTCCTTGAAGAATTGGGGCGTGAGGGTTGGGAGAGAGGTCTTGGGATCCAGCGATTGGAAGTCACAATGTGTGGACCTTTCATGCTCAGATGGTGGAACCTGAGGAGGCCCCCAAAGTGTTAAGTGCACAGAGAGGAGAGGGGAGCAGCTGTGACTGGGCCAACGTGTGAGTGCAGCTAAGCTGGGGGCAGAAGGGACCTGCGGGCTGGCAAGAAGGGAGCCCCAAGCGAGCTGCACCCTGAGGCAGGTACCCCGAGTGAGGGCAGACACCTCTGAGGACAGGCACGTCCCAGGGCAGGGGGTGCCCAGGAGGAAGGCTGCAGGGTTGGCCCTTGTGGGCTGTGGGCCAGTCTGAGGAGTCCGAGTCCCATCGGGGCATGTGGCAGGGCCAGACCATGGAACCGGAGGGCGGGCTCTGCCAAGGTGGGCAGTCGGGCAGGTGAGGATGGGCACCAAGGCGGTTGTGGCAGCCAGAGCTGTGGGAAGAGGCCCAGAGCATGGTGCCAGCTCACTGTGGGTCTCCGGCCCCGAGCCTCTCTCCAACTGTCCCTCCACCTCCATTTCCTCTTTACTGCCTCCTTTCAGGCTGGCGTCTTAGAAACGTCCGGACCTCCCAGCGTGTCTCCAAGTCTCCATCCTTCCCTGCATCTTCTCTGTGGCAGGCACAGCCCCTCCGGCCGGGCTCCTGAGCACCTGTCCCTGCTGGTGTCTGCCCTCCTTCCCGGCCTTCTCCACCTCCCTCGGCTCTGGCCCCTCCTGTCGACTTAAAACAGAACAACACTGACATATATTTTAGTTCCCTGTGTTTCCTTCTGTCTTCTTCATGAGCCTGGGAGTCCCTTCAGGGGATAGGGACTTTGTCTTTTTTATCTCCGTGTCGCCAGCACCAGGCTGGGTGTAGAGTAGACGCTGGATGTTTGCTGACCGGCCTTCAGTTGATGAGCCGGGCAGACCCACCGAAGCGGAGCCTGCGCTTTCCCTGCAGCCGCCGTGGGGCAGAATCCGATTAGGCAGACCGACACCAGGATGGAAATTATTCCAAATAAAAAGTCAGCTTTTTTCCTTCTCAAGTAAAAAGAGTCATTTTTTTTCCCAACTAATATTGTTGAATACCTACTGGATTTGGCGCGGTGGGGGCTAGATCCTAAGAGGTATAAAGTACAGTCTCTTTTCTCAAGAGTCTTAAGAGGTAGCCGTAGAACCTGCAGGTAACGACAGAGCCGGGCACGGCTGGCAGGGGCCATCAGGGTGCTGTGAGCAGGTCCTGGCGCCCCAGCAGGGAGGAGCCCCGCGCTCTCTGGGATGAGGCTTCCCGGGGTCGGCAGGGTGGAGGTTGGTAGGCTTGCGGACTGGGGTGGGGGTAGATGGGCAGTGGGGGTGGGTGTCATGGAGCCCATTGCAGTGGAGCAGAATGCAGTCGAGCCAGGGTAATGATGACGAGCTCATCTGGACTGGCTCCAGATAGATGCCGTCTCTGAATTAACCGATCGAGGGTCTGTCTCTGTTTTCTAGACTCAAACCATGAATTACGTGGGGCAGTTGGCAGGCCAGGTGTTTGTCACCGTGAAGGAACTCTACAAGGGGCTGAACCCTGCCACCCTGTCCGGATGTATCGACATCATCGTTGTCCGCCAGCCCAACGGGAGCCTGCAGTGCTCCCCTTTCCACGTGCGCTTTGGGAAGATGGGGGTCCTGCGTTCCCGAGAGAAAGTGGTAAGAGCATAGGACCTGGTGACCTGGGGCGGGGGGCAGGTTCTCTCTTTAGAGCAAATCATCGTGTTTGTGTCTTTGAAGATTTTATTTATTTATTTGACAGAGAGACACAGCGAGAGAGGGAACACAAGCAGGGGGAGTGGGAGAGGGAGAAGCAGACTGCCCGCGGAGCAGGGAGCCCGATGTGGGGCTCGATCCC